TCCTTTGGACCTTAGTTGTCTTATAAATATGGTGGTGCCTTGAATAGTCATTTTGAAGCTTAAATGTGGGAAGATATGTAAAGCCCCTGGTTCCATCCATAGTTAGGTATATAATAAATGTTTGTTCTTTATTCCCCTTCAAACCGAGGTCCAACTTTTCTTTCTTATGGGACTGCAATGCGATTTGTAAATCAGAGTACATTATATAAAAGAAGGACTGTTGTTCCTATCTCTGCTTTTTTAAAGTCCTGTCTACCTTTTAAGGCCAAGTTCAAAGGACACCTACTTCATGAAGCATCTCTGGATTCTCACTCCCACCACACTCATCCCCTACTCCATCTGGAAGAATAATAATACAACCAAAGGAGAACCTTCAAACCATCTCAGCTGATACTTGAATTTCCTGTATATAATAAGTACAAGTCAGTAATGTACAAAGCTAAGCAGTGTTTTAGCTTCTACTAAAACATTTTTAGAGATAAAAAAAGTTAAGTGTTTTCAAAACAGATCTATTTACTCCAGCTTTGGACAGCTTAAATCTGTCCCCTTAAATTTTCTGCATTTGTTCTGAGGTATATTTGTGTTCCTCTTTAAATATATTGCCCACGAATAAATAATATTCCTTAAAATACACCCGTCTGTGAATGCCCTTTCTTCTTCCGTAATGGCAGCTTATGCTAACAGGTTTGTGGTGACCGTGGAGCTGTTTTCTCCTAATTGCACTTATATTCAGTTAAAACCCTGAAATCTTTTCAAATATGTGTTGGTACTAAATGACATCTGTCTTGAATTAATATGGCTGTTTTTGATACCTGTGGTTGAGTTCCCTAATATCTGTCCATATTACATGCATCTTGGTGTGTTTGGTCTTACTAAATTGCTGTGAACCTACCTTGTCCTCATACTCCTAGATTCAGTTTCCTTGTGAGTTCCTCCAACGTACTTTATTCCTGTTATAACACACATCTCTCTCTGCTTTGTGCCATACTTTATGTATTTGTGTGATGTCACTATCTTAGGTGGGGTTCCTGAGAAGCAGAGCCTCTGTCTGGGGGATCTAGCAGCAACTGTAGCTTCCCAGACTTGCTGGCTTCTGTTGGGTCAACAGCTGTTTTCTGGAACAGGTGGGCAGCTTAAGAGTTGTTCTCAGCCAGCACACAGCATCTAGGAAATACGTGCTCAGGCTGGTGGAAAGGATCTGATGGGACCCAGCAGCATCCATTAGAGTTACCCATGATTTGAATTGTTGAGTATGGAAACTACCTATTGCTTATTTTGGTAGTCTCTATAAACCTGGCCCCATGTCTTGTGCCATAAAGGTGTTAGTTTGTGGACTTGAATTACCAAGGTCTGGAGTAAATATCTTCCAGTGTGTACCCATTCCAGTCCACTGCCATTTGTAATAACAGATACCAGTAAGGAACTTAGCCCAATTCCCCCTTGCAAAGCAGCACAGAACCAAACTGTGTGAGTGACAGAAAGATAGGGAAATTTATATTGCACCTTCCAAGAATCTAGTTGCCCTGTCAATACAAAAGTTGTCTAAGGACCAAATGCTTAAATTTAGAAGAGGCAAATAACTTCCTTTTTTTTTTTTTTGTTCTAATTTTTTTTTATTATGTTATGTTAAACACCATACATGACATCATTAGTTTTTGATGTAGTGTTCCATGATTCATTGTTCTGTATAACACCCAGTGCTCCATGCAGAACGTGCCCTCCTCAATACCCATCACCAGGCTAACCCATCCTCCCACCCCCCTCCCCTCTAGAACCCTCAGTTTCTTTCTCAGAGTCCATAGTCTCTCATGGTTCATCTCCCCCTCCAATTTCCCCCCCTTCATTCTTCCCCTCCTGCTATCTTCTTCCTTTTTTTTTTTTTTAAACATATAATGTATTATTTGTTTCAGAGGTACAGGTCTGTGATTCAACAGTCTTACACAATTCACAGCACTCACATAGCACATACCCTTCTCAGTGTTTATCACCCAGCCACCCCATCCCTCCCACCCCCCACCACTCCAGCAACCCTCAGTTTAGGCAAATAACTTCTTAAGACCAAGGAAACATACCAAAGAGCAGACTTTCAGTCTGCTCCACTCAACTCTGGAACTATTTTTGTTTTTTTTAAATTTTATTAAAGGAATAGGCGCATATTGGCTAAACATAAAAATGGTATAAAAGGGTAATACAGCTTGACTTTTATTTCCACTCCCCAGAGCTAACTGCTGTTAATATTTTCTTATGTTCCTATCCAGAAATAGTTGTATATATGCAAGGCTATGTATTTATGATTTAGATACAAAAGATTACAATATATGCACTTCTCTCTACCATTTTTTAAACTAATAATAGATCTTGTAGGTCTTTCTACATCAACACATCTGTATCTATCTCATTTTTAAAAATGACTGTATAGATGTCTTATAATTTATTATTTTTCTGGTGGATATTTAGGTTGGTCCTAGTTTTCAGCTCTTACAGAAGATATTTTTGCTCATACAAATTTTTTCCATTGCAAAATAAGTATCCTTTTATGTGAGGGTTGGTTGTTTTTTTTTGAGGTTTTTTTTTTTGTGTGTGTGTGTATATGTTTTCTTAGCACTATTAACTTGAAAAGCCTGTTCTTCTTGCTTCTGAATAAGGACATAGTTAGAGAATATGGCTACCAGATTCCCTGCTTCTGTATGGAACAATTATGTGCCTTTAAGCCTAAGTTATGCTTTCTCCTTCTCTGCCCATTTGTCTTTCAGCCTCTTCTCCAGAATGCAACTTAAAATCAGAAAAGATAAAAGTTGTCATTGTTGAAAAAAGTTTAAAGTAATTCTCAAGTTCAGGTCATTGTAATAGCAAGTTCTAAATACCACTTTGGTATAGAATTTAAATAACAGAAAAACTGTTTTGAGAGGAACAGCAATTGTGACTCTTGTTCAGAATTTAAGAGCATCGGTATTAAGAGCTCATCTAATGCAAGTTTCGAAAACACAATCAGACTTTCCAGAAATTCAGCCGCGATGTACTTAAAAGCACTGTTGTTGTCTTTTTCCTTGCAGTGAAGTACATGCGAGAAGCCACACCCTATGTGAAGAAAGGCTCCCCAGTATCAGAGATCGGCTGGGAAACACCTCCGCCCGAATCCCCTCGGTTAGGGGCCGGGTCCTCAGATGCCCTGTCATCACAGCCGTGCTCCTTCCACAGAGATCGGAAGAACATCCCCCTCAAGATGTGCTATGTCACCCGGAGTCTGGCCTCTGCTGACCCTGAGAACAGGTAAAGGGACCCAGAGACCTCTGGATCTCAGCCATGTGGTGGCCGCTGAGGTTGTGAGGGCCATGCTTGTGTTCTCAAAGCACTCAGCAGTTTCCAGAGAAAAGCCTGAAAGGGCCCCGCTGAGATAATGTGCTTGTTCAAGCCCTGGCCGGCCTCCCTCCTTCTCTTCTTCCATTCTTCTTCCTTTTATCCTCATGACTAATCTGTGCACTGAGCTTTGGTTCTGGGAAGAGTTGAAGAATTGGATCCCAAGTGTCTTCCCTGGGTGTACCACTGCTAGTGTATGGGACTTTGGGCAAGTTTCGCAAACCAAGAAACCTCAGTTTTGTCCTCTGTAAAATGGGAATAATTGAAATAGATATCTCACTGAGCTGGAAATCCATGTGAAGTGCTTAGTACAGGAAATCCTTCATGAATATAAGGTATCATAATATTTGTTATTAATGTTAGGTGGTAGTAAGCACATCAGCCCCCCTGGACCTTGGTGCCCTCAGCTGTGTACTTGGAAGTTTCCACAAGAGGATCCTTACTGTAGTTTTCTGCTCTAAGCCTCTCTTTATGCTCAAGAGAGAAAAAGGAGTGGCTTTGATCCAACCCTGGAGTGCTATTTCTCAAAGTCTGTACACAATTTCTCTTGCCACGGGAAAGAGATATCACCCAGTCTGTGGTGATTATAAAAAGTTTAGCAAGAGGAGCAAATATTTGGGGTCCCTGTTCCCCCAGATATCTACTTTAACTCATCCAAACAGAAAACGTCTATTTGGGAGGAAAATAAGAGAGATGTGGAGGAGAGGGAGAGGAATTGAGCCAGCAAATGGGGAATCTTGGTGATCTTGGCAGCCACATTCAAATGCTAAAAATAGGGACAGCTCTGCTGGCCCTTATTTGTAACATGTGTGGGACAGTGGCAGCCCACCCGAGTAGGATGTATTTGGCTACGTTCTGAGTTGCTGATGGGGAAAAGCCAAAGGGAATAGGGACAGGGAGGAAGTTGCCTCCTTGGCTCAGAGCTCAAAGCTTTTTTCGTTCTTTTCCTAATAAGCCTGGCTGACTCCAGCAGCTGCAGGATCTAGCCTGCTCCCCTCCCACACCAGTATGTCTGCCCAGGGCTCAGAGCTGTGGTTGCAGGAGAGAGAGGAGACCATCAGCCAAGGAGGAGTCGGAGCAGGCAGACTGAGCAGGCATGAGCCACTCCAGCCTGTTCTCTACTTTGTCCCGCTCGATTTCTGCTGATTTCCCGGGCCCGCAGTTGATGTTCTGGTTACTCTGGGCCTGATCTTTCCTGGTCTCTAGGTTACCCAGTCAGATAGGTCCTTTCTTCCAAGAGTCTGATGTCTAAGGTGTTAGATCTGGTGAATTCCTAATTTATCAAGTGCCCATCTCGTGCTGGGCATTATGCTAATTACTTCAGATCAGAGACTGTTGACAGGTGTACCCAGCCCGCAGATAAGGTGTGTCTGGTGTTTTAAAGAAATTGGAATTACTGGGGCGCCTGGGTGGCTCATTCAGTTAAGCGTCTGCTTTCGGCTCAGGTCATGATCCCAGGGTCCTGGGATCGAGCCCCGCATAGGGCTCCCTGCCCAGTGGGAAGCCTGCTTCTCAACCTCTCCCACTCTCCCTGCTTGTGTTCCCTCTCTCGCTGTGTCTCTCTCTGTCAAATAAATAAACAAAATCTTAAAAAAAAAAAAAAAAGAATTAAAAAAAATGGCAAAGAAATTGGAATTACTTACCACATTGAATCATTGGGAAATTTCACATTAGAAAGCCAGATTGCTGCTCTTCTAGAACAGTGGAAAGATCTGGTGAGATTATTTGGCCCATGTTGCTGCAGGCAGGTTTCCAATCTGCAGGAGCCCAGTAGAGACTTCTCTTCGTACAAGGGAATGGATTCTCCTCGTCACTCCTATTGCCATACCCTTGGGGGGTTCTATTAGCTACTTGCCTGGTCCTTCACATTTCCTGCCCAGTCTTTGAATCTGTGACCCTGCTTGGTCCTCTTAACAGCACTCTGAGTTTTGCTTTGTCTCCATTCTGTAGATAAAAAATGGAGGCTCAGCTCTTATGTAAGTTCCAAACATCATAGAGCTAATATATGGTTTTGCTGGGTTTCAAATGCAGGCCTATAGTGTGGGTGACAGTGTCAGTTCACCAAGACCAGAAAAAGGCAGAGACTAGGAAATGTGGCGTATTGTAGAAGAGATTCATGCCTGGGGAGAGAGTTTAAGTCAGTGATGTCTAGGCTTCTTTCCAGCTGTGGACTATATGCTCTAACTCCCTCCTAAGGCACCGAATTCTGTTTTAAAGAATATTTTGGGAGACACCAGGCCTTGGTTCAAACATTGGAGACTTCATCTGTGAAGCCAGAAGAGGGAATGCATTTGTACACTTTCATATCGTGGTCTTCAAGTCCACCATTGATAAGGTGGTGCGGAAGAGCCTATCCTGCCAGGAGGTGAGAACCACAGGGCAGGACTGAAAATGGGACTCCAGCTAAGCCAGAGGGTCCGGAGGGGACTTAAGTCCAGAGAGACCCAGAACTGCGGCTAAGGAGATTGACCTCTGACAATGTACACGTATATCAAATCACCAAAGATGTTAAAATTTTGTTAATTATACCTCAGTAAAGCTGGGGGAGAAAAAGAGATCATGGTTTTAGGTGAGTCTTGACCCTGGTTGAGGAAGAAAAGAAAAGGAAAAAGGAAACAAATATTTTACGGAACTCTGGTTACATGCTGGACAGAGTACAATGTACCAGTCAGAGAGGTGGACTCTGCAAAACCCAACTCGGTGCTGGACCCAAGACACGCCTAACACAAAGGGATTTTCAAAGGCAGAAACCAAAGAGATGGGCAAAGCGTACAAGGCAAATGCAGACAAACAGTGCTGACAAAAGGTACCAGTTTTGAGCTTGATATATGATAAGGTAAAATGCAGACTGAAAGCACAAAACAGGACAAAGGACTGGTTGCTGCTAAAGGCCAGAATGCACAAGGAACATTCACCACTTGTGAATGTGCACCCAGTAACACAGCAGCGGCCTTTATAGTGGAAACTCTAGAAGATGCAAGACAAAATAGAAATGTACTAATAGTAGGCATTTCAACATACTCTCCATCCAAGTGGACAAAAGGTCAGTAAAGATATAAAAGACCCAAACAACATAATTAATAAGGGAGATCGGGATACATCACAAACTTTGTACACTGATAATAAAGAATATATTTTCCTTTCAAATCCAGGCAGAACATTGACAAAATTATATATAGATTAGCTCACCAAAAATGCAATAAATTTCCCGAGGTTGGAATACCATAAACAGCATTCTCTGATGTTAGTGGAATCAAAGTAGAAAATTATTTGCCAAACTGAAGCACAATAAGCCTTTCTTCTTGGATTTTTAAAAGCTCTTTGTGAAATATCTCTTAGGTCAAAGGGGCGATAGAAACTGAAATTGTAGCATTTCTTAAAATATGAAAATAATGCGTATGTTAAACATGAAAGAGAAAGAAGGAGAAAGGGAGTGTCGTCTCTGCAGTCAGCTAGATCCATGATGGAATCTGGGTTCTGCCACTTATGCGTGAATTTAAGCAAGTATCTCATTCGATCTAAATAACGGCCCTCGGTCGTAGGTACTCTAAGCTTTATTGTATAGACAATGAAATTTAGTTCAGAAGGGAGAGTGGAAACAAACAGTAGATCTGGGGTTCCAGTAGGAAGCCCAGTTTCTTAATCATGATACCCGAGTTCCTGTGACTGTAGCACCTGGCGGAACAGCCCATCTAAACTGTAGGGACAATGGCCAGGACTTCATGGGCTCCTGGATGCTAAAACTTGAGCAGCAATGACAAATGCCCCCGCATCTTGGGCTCATCCCCTTGGTTGGTGACACATAGCTACTTAAGAGTTTGCATTAAAAACTCTAATATTCAGTTTCTCAAATAGAAACCTCCATAGAATAGCAGGCAGGATTGCGGCTCTTTCTGTGGAAAAGGTCACCCAGCAGGCACTGAATCCTCAAGAATATGTCACTTCATAAATATCTAAATACCTCGTTGTTCATATTCAGCTCTTTGCTGCCCTGGTCCAGGGCTATATCCCCTGTTCTCCAGACTCTTTGGACATATTCCCTACCAGGTGCTTCGTTTCTGGCTTGCCCCTTCCCCATCCTCTACCATCTACCCTACACCCAGCTAGCCAAGGCAGTGTTTTACACTCAAGATTTATCCATTTGCTCAAGATGGCGCCCTGACCCTTCACTAATCTCAAAACTCCCCAGTATTACATAAAAACCCTATGAGGTTCTGGGTCTTCCCTAAGTGTCCAGTTCCTCCCATCTCATCATTTATGCCCCAGCCACCCTTAAATAATTCACTCCCCTGACAATTTCCTTAGTCGCCTATTAAAAATCAGCATAGGGCGCCTGGGTGGCTCAGTTGGTTAAGCGACTGCCTTCGGCTCAGGTCATGATCCTGGAGTCCCGGGATCGAGTCCCGCATCGGGCTCCCTGCTCGGCGGGAAGTCTGCTTCTCCCTCTGACCCTCCCCCCTCTTATGCTCTCTCTCTCTCTATCTCATTCTCTCTTTCAAATAAATAAATAAATAAATAAATCTTAAAAAAAAAAAATCAGCATAAGTGAAGCACTGGTCCCACTATACCTAGTGTGTAGATCCGGCCATCATGGCACCCTTTATAATGACTTGAGATTTTTTTCTTATGTGCCTACCTAGATCTTAAAGTCATTAAGACCCTTGAGGTCTGGAACACCCATGTTATCATTTTAAAATCCCAGCTTTCTAGAACATTGCTTGATACAAAGCAGGCATTCAAAAATATATATGTTAATGATTACATGGCATATTCGTCTGTCCATTTTTGGTATTCTTACCTTCTCAAACTTTAAAGGAAAAAAAAAAACTTCCACTAAATAACCTTGGGAGTAAAAGGACAAATAAAAACGCAGTTCTCTCCTACCAGACTCAGCGAACTTAAATAAACCAGAACAACCCATTAGTGAATTTTGTTCAAAGTAACAAAACCAATATGGACTTTTCAAGGCAGCCTAAGCAGTGCATTCTCTCCATGTGGGAAATTAAATTGTCACCAAAGTTATCAATACAAGAGATGCTAACAGACCTGAAGAAGTGTATTTTAGACAAGGAAGCTGGAAGCCACTCCTTCTGGGATCAGGAAAGCCTTGCTAAGGTGGCCATAATGGTAATTACTACTTTACTGAGACCCCCATCTCCTTTGGGCTGTACCTAAATGGGCAGGGCTCCCCCAAGTAGATGCCTCCCCTCCCCTTCTGTTCACCCAGTCTTATTCCTGATGGGGATCAGAACATAGGACTTCAAATTAAATCACTTTCTAGTCTTGGCTCCTCAACATTGTTCCCATATGACTTCGTTCTGGGTTTTAGATGATCTCAGGCACTTCAGTTACATGTTCGTGAACACATGGTCTTTTGGCAACCACCAGAAAAGAGTAATCATTTTACTAGTTTAGCCTTATTTCCTCCTTTTCCCAGTGTTTGGGGGCACACTGTTGTCTCCCTCACCCAAAGCTTATGTAGAGTTTTCAACCATATTCTTTGAACTTGGAACACTATTGAAAAGGCCCCTCTGTTAGTTCATCCGGAATGAAGATTCACGCAGTTCTTCTGTCCGTCTTCTCTCCACCATAAATCCTTACTTGTGAAGTGCTTCTCCTCTTAAGAGGCTCACAAGATGTGTACTTTCTTGGTTCTGTTTTCTTCAATCTTAGTTGGACACACTGTGGTGGCCTCATAACTGAACGTATTGCCGGCCACACCATGATTGACACTGCATTTTGGAAACAAAGGGAAAATGTAAAATCAAGTTACATTGGCACTGTGGTCAGTGGACACAGTTTCAGTGTCTAAAACAGAGGCCCAAATTAACCGCCCACTAATACTGGTGAGTAAAACTCTGGAATTGAGGTTAGAAGATAGGAGTTTGAATCCCAGTTCTGTCACTCAGTCCCTTTCACTTTAGATGAATTACCAAATCTCTCTGATTCCCAGCTTCCTTGTCTATACACTGTGCTTGCTAACCCTGACCACATTTAATTGTTGTGATGGTTTGGTGCCAGTGTAGACATCCCTAATTCCTGGCAGCATAACTGTGCCATAAATGCAACTTTCAATCAAAATACCCTCAGTCCTGGGTACAAGGGGAGGGAGGAGGTTTTTTTGTTTGTTTGTTTGTTTTTCCCCAGCGGAAAGAAGTTTCCAGGTCATCTCCCCAAGCTGTTGAGCAGAGATTATTTTGTAAGACATTCTTTCACAGAGGTTTTTATCCTTTTGGGATTTCTGGCTCTCTGCAGGAACCTTGTTCCAGTTTCCCAAGTCATGGGCTTACAGAGCCTTAACGATCATGTATGTATTGACCTCCCAAGTCCTCAGCCCACCCCCTCACTGCCAACCCACTACCTGCCATGACCCCACTCCACTCCACTTTCCAGGGACCAGCTTGAATAATACTCACCACCCTTGTTTTCAGTGCCTTCCCACCCATTCACCCCCCCTTTTTTTTTTGGCACCTGGGAGTTTCCTTTTCTTTTTTGCAGCTCAGCAGTACATTAAAGCCCAAACAAGCAACCTTTTCTTATTACATCTTATCTAGTATATCCAGGTGTTCATAGCAGAAGGATTTCTGAATTTGTAGACCACCATAGACTTGGAAGCTTCCTCACGTAGCTAGTTTAGTATAAAACTAAAATCAAACAAACAAAAAAAGTGAATATTATCTTTTGGATGATGTACCACTTTCATTTGAAAGTGCGGACTTCCCTCTACCACCAGAAGCACCATTTTGGTCATGCTTATTCATCTGTCTGTATCTGTCTGTTACCTCTGCCCCTCCGTCTGTCTGTCTATTGCCTCTATCTACTATAGCCTGTATCACATAGCTGTTATCTATCTCTTCTTGCTTCTTACCTAGACAACCCCTAGTGAAATATTCTTATTACTATAGAAGGATATGCATAAAAAGAGAGATGATCTTGGTGTTTGATTCAACAGCACTCACATTCTGCTTTTAAGAAATACAGGAAGTGAAATACATAGTAACAAGTTCAACAATTTGTTTAAAAGTGGTTGGGAAAGGAAAGTTGGGCTGAATTAGTCAAAAATCTGAAAAAGGAAATAAAGCCCTAAATAGTTGTTCTTTTTTAAGTGTACATAGTTAGGCAAAGGAAGGGGGCATGGCTTTGGCGTTCATAACAGACCTAAGAAAATAGATAAGATACTCCTCTTTAAAAGTTATTTTAAATGAAAGTTTAAATGTTATTAAAACAATAAAGACAGGTTAAAAATCAAATAGATCTAAAAGATTTATTATTAAAAATCAGTGGGTGTTTATCACTCATTTTGAAACCTATTTGTAAACTAATTGAAAGACTCATATCTGAGATCTCGGAAATGTTCTCATATTATGTATTTGGCAATGTCCTCCTCTCTTTTCTTTGTTCTCTCTCTCTCTGCATCCCCTGTTGGAAAGATGACCTCCTGGATTGATTTTCTAAGTCTGTTTCTTTCTCTCTTACTTCTGTCACATTTTTTTCTTCTTACTTTATTTTTGTGACACTTTTCGTGAATATAGTGTGTTTAAATTTCAGCTATTTTAGTTCTTTGAATGTTCCCTTTTAATGGAATTTTGTTCTTGTTTTCTGGATACTGTATTTTCCTCTTAATTCGTGGAGACTATTAATTAGTTTTGTTTTCTTTGTGCTCTTTGTCTCTCCTATTATTATTATTATTTTGTCTATTTCTCTGGATCTTCATCTGACTTGCTGGAGTTTTCCTCAAATGTTTGGTGATCTTTTGCTAGCTGCTCGTTTTTTACATTGAAGGATGAAGAAGCCTATTGGAACCTGTGGGTTCCAATCCACATCCTCCCGTGTGTGGGGAGAGGGGTTATCAGTTGGTGGGAATTTAGATACAGTTACTGTTTGGCAAGTCAGCCTTACCAAGAGACCTCTTCCA